CTACCCAAAATGCCACTTTTTGATCCTCTCATCCTCTGGCCCCACATACATATAGGAATGTAACAAAAAAAAATTCTCCTAAAATTATAAATCAATGTCAAACAAAGTAGGGACAATTACAAAAATGCCACTTTTGTGTGCACATTTGCAAAAATGCCACTTAGGGGTGTCCATTTACAAAAATGCCACTAATTATAGATTTATAAAGCATATATCTTAAAATTCTAAATCCTAAAAAATGTTTTGACACCTAAAATCTCCTAAACACTCAAAACTAAACTCTAATAGAACATAATTAACCCAAACATAAATAATATAAAGAAAAAATAATTTTGAAAAAGTGGCATTTTTGTAAAGTAGCACTTGAAAAGTGGCATTTTTTAAAATTTCTCAACAAAGTAACTAGCCAAATTATTTTTTTGAGAAAGAAAATAGGTCTACACAATCTCCGGTTATGATGACTAACGGATAAACTAGCCAAATTTAACACTTTTATTTTATCCATAGCGGAAAAACAAAACACATTGCTTGAGAAAAAGAAAGAAAATTGATAGAGATTTATGGATTTGCATCATTAAGTCTAATAAAAGGGTGATTTTGGATTAAACATCTCAGATTTTCAAGATTCTTCAGAGAATTTGTACCAAAGCAGAGAACTTTCTTAGAATTTGTGATCAATAAGACATATGAGTACTAAAAGCATTATCGATAAGAAAAGCAGCGAGAAGAACAAGAACTTACATAAGCCATGGGAAAAGCGGGTTTCCGGCGGAATTGGATTCACCGGCGACTTCTACAGCAGAGTTGGATTCACCGGCGGCTTCTCCGACGGATTTGGATTCACTAGCGGCGCCAGTCTCTGTGACCGACCAAGAAAGAGAGAGTTACGAATCTTTTATGAGCATTGACCCATGTAGAAGACGAGAAAGAGTTACGAAGAAGAAGAAGTTTGAAAAATTGGAATTTTTTTATTAATCTATGTTGTTTGTTATTAAAGGAATCGATAGGGTTAAGGAGTATTTAAAGAACTCTTCTTGTTGTGTTTTAACGGCTACATTTACTGTAATCTTACCGTTATATACAATAGTAACTTTTGATAAGACAACTTAGCCGTTATAAACAATCAACATTATTTGGTTCAAATTTGGTTTTCAATTAAAAAAAATTTAAAATGTGTGATTTAACGGTCGAGTCTCAGTTACAGTTTTTGAATGCTAATTGGTCCATATTTGTTTTTCTTCAAAAAATGGTTAATGTGAAAGCGCAAATTGTAACACAAAAGACACCAAAATCTAATACACATTAATTAAATTATTGTTTATTAAACTAATCCTTCCTCATACCCATAACAAAAGGCCTATTTATTTATTTTACAACACAAGGCCCAAAAGATTTAAGAAGAAAAAACAAGCCCATTACAATCAAACCCACAACCACACTGAGGGCTCTCCACAAAATCAGCCGCCGGGAAACTCGCCGACGCAATCCCGACGGAGAAATCAAGATCGTTACCGTCAAGAGACACTTCAACGATATTAATCCAGAAGAAAAGCACTTTAACACTAACACCTTTCAGATTCTTGACGTGACCGGGAGATATAACACCGGAGATTGTTGATTTGTACTTGAGCTGGTACGATTGGATTGTAAATTTACACGTGTCGTTAAAAAAGACTTTGAAATCGCCGGTTGTGGTGTTAAGCTCATAGTCAACGACACCTTTTGGAAGGATTCCAACAGGTAAATTATAGCGTTTGACAACGTCGTAAGCGGTTGGCTTTTGGTCGGAAACGGTGAAAAGGACGGTGAGGAGGAGAAAGAATATGAGTTTCGACATGGGTTTTGCGTTTAACGACATGAGTACTTCTTCTTCTTCACTTTGTTGCTATGATTCGTGTCTAGTTTTTATTTACCTTTTAAAACTGGTTAGGTGTGTCTTGTGGACAGTGTAATAAAATCTGTGTGTCTGTCTGATGAAGAGACCATGCGATTAGATGTACGGTGGATAGTGAGGTCACGTGTTCCACGTTTGATGAAATCCATAATCGAGTTTCGTGTGTAGTAATCTTAAAAAAAAAAAAAATCAATGTAGAAAACCAAAAAATCCCCTGTTTTCACTATTTGAGAAAAAAAAAAAATGGCTTCAATACCATTGAGAAAACCTTTTAAGTGAAATACACATAGTTTGATGTGGGACGGATTTGATGAACATTACGGCTTCCTAACTGGAAACCGGATTGCGGAGCGTGATTATCATCGTTGCCTTCTTCGTTATTGTCTTCGGTCCAAAAGGTTTCGAGGATTTTCGCGGCTTTTTGGTATATTTCGTTGTTGTGATGACTCTGAAGATTCTCAATCTTGTCAAGTCCTTCTGCTTCATCTATCATTGAAGCGTAGAGGTTATTGTCTCCTGTATGACCTAAGTTCTTCTCTGTTTCTCCAACCGCGAGAATGTTCTCTAGCGCTTGTAAGCAAACCGTTATGATTCTTGGATCAGGGCAGGTAAGAAGATCGCATATCGGCTTTATACAGCCTCGGCTAACCATGAGCCTGAGAAGAACGAAAAAAAACAAAAACATGTTTTAGAAATGATCTTTCCATTTTTTTTGTAATGGAAACATTTGGTTTTAGTTTTTTTTTGGTCTTTACTTGATTTGATCATGAGTGCCTCTAAATGTAGCATTTGCGATCCCCACAACAGCTTCTTGTTTTACTTCGAATTCTGCGGTTTCAAACACCCAAACAAGAGACTGAATTATACCTGCTTCAATCACTGCCTGCATTTAAATAAAATCAGACATGCGAAAGTTGTATTTTTCGACTAACAAAGTTGCTAAAATATGTAAATAAAAACTCACTTGTATCTGGTTTGAATTCCGAGTTGTGATGTTTGAGATAATTCGGCAAGCTTCCGTCTTGATACTCTTCTTGTAAGTGTTTGTCAAGAGGTTCAAGAGACAAGGAAGCACTTGATGGTCGAGAACCGTCTGTTAGGAGAATAAGTTAAAAGAGACATTTCTTTTATGAAAATGTACAAGTAGAATTGTGAAAATGTATTATATGCACCTGAGTCTGGCCATCATCACCGGTTACAATATTCCCAATGGTACGAAGAGCAGGAAACAACACTGATGGCGACGAATGACTAAGAAGAGGAAACACATAATTTAGATATGTCATGCCATTATTGCTAGCCATAAAAAAATTAAACTCGCAATCAGAGATACTTACGATAATAAGGCCATTTTATTCAGTTACAACATAAGGCCCAATAAATTGATTTTAAGAAGCCCATTACAACCACAACATAGCGTTTGGCCTTTGGTCGGCAACAAAAGCGAAAAAAGACGGTTAGGAAGAGAAAGAAGATGAGATTAGAGTGGGTTCTGCGTTTGATGACATGGGTTCTTCTTCTTATTATTTGTTTTCTTGTCATGATTCGTGTCTAATTGTGTTGCTTTGAACAAAAGCAGTGGTTAGGTACTTAGGTGTGTTGTGTCCTGTGGGACACTGGACAGGGTAAAATCTGTCTGTCTAATGAAGTGACCGTGAGTTAGATGGACGTAATTCAAATGAAGAAACTGAAATAAATTTACCGGAGCTTGTAGTCCAGTGGTACTGATTATTTCAATCTAGTTTTATTCCTAATTCGAAATTGCCGAAAACAGACAAAACAAAACAAAATCCCCTTATGTTTTTCACTATTTGAGAAGAAAAGAAAACTGAACTAAAATGGCTTTGAGAAATCTAGATCGACGGTGGAGATTTTATCGCTAGTTCGGAACGAAATCATTTCAATGTAGATAAACCAAACCGAACCAAAAATAATTGAAATAAATGAGATTGTAGTCTAACCATATGTACTAGTTTCGATTTCAATCTAGTTTATCATCACCCTTCCTAAATCGAAAACGTTCCAATGTTCTTACTATTTGAGAGGAGAAAACAAAAGTGAAACCAAATTGGCTTCACTATCTTTTGAGAAATTTTCAAATGAAGTAAATTGATGTGGAAAACGAGTTTGAACATACTATATTCGAGTTTAATTTAATTACTAGACTAATGAATCGGAAAAACCAACATAAAATTTAAACCAAAACAGGATTGAATGAAGAAAGAAATATATACAAGAGCGCAAAACTTGATCAAACCCATGTGCGAAAAATGCTATTAATGGAAGATACAATCTTGGGAGTGAAAACAGTTTTTGTGTTTTGTTTCGCCTTTTTCTCAGAGACCAACGAATCATCAACAATGGAATATAAAGCAAATCATATAATTAACAATAAGGCCAAGATTC